GATTGGCGTGCAAGCTTGGGTCGGACGAAGCAGCGGTGGCTGCTCAGTCTGAGTATATGATTGGCGTGTCCACGGACAGGTCAGCTGCTCTACTCGCGAGTGCCCAGCGCGCGTTCCCCTGGAGTGTTCGCGAATCCGACAATCCCGACTCGAATAGGCTTAGTCGCAGTAGGGAGAGTCGCAGGAGTACGAAACAAGGAAGGACTTACCGAGCGGAAATCATTTGCACAAGGGCGACATCGACTGCCGACCAGTAGACTTAACGCTGACGAGAGCACCGCCACCCGCGCGCGCGAGTTGCTCCGCCCCGACCTCCTTGCACCAGCACGAACCAGGTACCCCGTTCCAGTCGCGAGCCTGGCGCCCGCGCGAGTCGCGCGCTCGAGGCCCGCGCCCGATCCAGGCATTTGCTTCGTCGGCGCTTACAACTGGCAGCTCAAATCAATGGCGCGCGAAACTACGCCTTGCGATTGGACGGGCAAGACCACTTTCAGTCGCTTCGCCGGCCTCCCGGAGTTTGTGGCCGAACGACCTAGAAGCGCAAGCGGCGGGGCCGCGCGCCCATCAAACGCAGGACGGTCGTCGTGGACATGTTCGATGACATCGGCGGCGACATGTCGGGGCTGGGCACCGCTGCGCAATGGCAAGACTGGCGCAGGACGCGCGCATTATTTAGACCCGTGTGCTTTCGCAAGGCAGGGGCCTTCGCAACGCGGGCCGCGTCTAGCTTCCGAGCTGCGTTCCCCATCTCGGTCATCCAGGCCCACTCAGCACGCCATCGCCGCGGCTTCCAACTGGGGCCGGGGGGCGGATCTCTGCGAGTTGCACGGGGGAGCAGCCCGCGCATCGCATGTCGCCACGCGTCGACAAGTTACGTTTGGCGAGAATTTCGGCCAGGTGGCCGGCGGCAACCTAGGCGACCCGCGGGAACATCAAAGCTGTCCTCACATACATCAGGTGCAACAACCTCTCGGTCGTGGTTGGGGCGCCGTCCTGGCGCTGCGCCACGCTTCCAAGCGGCTTCAACCACCGCGTCAACCATGATATTTGAAGAACAGATTGCGAGGAGGTGTCTCCTCGCATCATGTTCTGCGGCCAGGTGGGCGGTTCCCAGGCCCAACGTGAACGAAGTTTTTTTGTCGAGCAGCCTAGCCCCGCCTGGCTCATTGCCGCGCCGCCCTGGAGCCAGATGTCACAACGCCCCCAAGTGGACGCGGTTGCGTTTGACCGGTGCCGTCTGTGGGCCAATTGTCCACCAGGTCTGCCAGCTAAGAAGGACTCCGTGGCTATCGCCAATCGTCTGAACCTGTTTGCGCTCTTCAGGAATCTGAGGCGCAGTCAGCTGGGGCTGCAGTCAATGCGCCTAATCACTGCAGGCCTTGCCCTGGCGCTTGACTGAGCGCGTTGTGCATGGTATAATCGCCCACGCTGTTGGCGGACAGTCCAGCTACCACTCCGACACACGTCAACCCACCCTAAGCATCAAAATGCCAATTCAAGGGGCGATATATGATATTGTCAAAATCTCATTGTACCGGTGGACATCCGACAATCTTGAATTTCAAATATCGAAATCGCACGGAAACGGTGGAAGTCTCAAAACACAGCACCAGCCCAAATATCAAATTCCGAAAAAAATAAAACAGAACACCAAATATCATGTCTCGGACAACGCAGCTCCGATGCAGTCTCCTATGTGCGACGTGGGTCTCGCCATGCTTGTTGCCGTAGGTTTCGCAACGGGTTATGCCACCCGTTTGGTTCGCCAGGTGTTGCGTTGCAGGTTGCACATTGTGCTGCCGAGCACCAGCAGGTTTGCTGTTGGTTGTGCGATCGGAGGAACACCTGGTGGCTTACAATAAGAAGGCCCGCTAGTGGTTGCGCCGAAGGCTGCGTCCCCCGCGTGCTATCGATTGCGCCATGGGTTGTACTCGCGGCGGCCCAGAGCACAATGGCCTTCCAACGGGCGCGACCAGTCAACCAATCGGTCAGCCAACCGGCCAGACGGTGTTGTCTGTTAGTACGGTCAGTTAACCAGTCGATCAGCCGCCCAGCCAGTCAGCCAGTCAGTCAGTCAGTCCGTCCGTGAAGTTCTCGCGCGAACCTGGCCTGATCCGGGGGGGCTCATCTGGGGCAGGGGTGGACCTAAACGGTTTTTTGGCGATATCGTGGGCCGTTGTTCGTTTCGATTTCGTTTTGCGTTCAAGGCGGATCGAAGACACATTGGGGGAAAACGAACACAAAACGAAAACGAAAAACTCCGTTTAGGTTCAGCCTTGATCTGGGGCTGGAGCGGCAGCACCCACCCAACCCGGCCTGACAAATTGCATGTTGCGCCCACGACGCCCCTGTCGGGAGCGGCCTCCTGGGTCTCCCGGTGCTCCCTGCTCAGGCAGGGCCCATCTCCTCCTCCTCCTCCTCCTCCTCCTCCTCCTCCCTCTCTTCCTCCGCATCGCCGTGTCCCTCTCCAGGCAGAGGGCGGTCGTCGTCGTCGGCGGTGGTGGTTCGGGTGGGGTCGTTTGGGCCCTCCCTGTTCCGACAGGAGCCACCGAGGGGCCGATTTCCGCCCAACTGGGCCCGGAGGGCCTCAGATCTGGGGGGAGGGCGCACGGAGGGGAAGGGTGGGAGGTGGAACGGGACAAGCTATGTGCGCTCGCGCCATATCTGACACTACCCTTAAGTCGTGCGTGTCCCAGTACAGGGGTAATATCCGAAAATAGTCAGACCATTGTCAGGGGACGATGTTTTGAATATGTTTCAACCTTCTTGGGGTATGATTAGGGTATTTGTAATTGCTCGTCCAAAATCCGCCTGTAGGGGGACATGCCCGACCTGACACTACCCATCCCACCCATGCCTTCCCATTCTGCTGATGTCTGGCTCTGCCCGCCGATGGGTGTCCTGGCGGACCTGGAACCCCAACAGGACTCTTATCCTGTAATGCGCAAGAAGAGCGAAGGGGAGCTGTGTAGATTTCAGGCGGGGGAAAAGACACAGACACAATCAACCGTCGATCCCCAGGAAAACATGGGAAAGTTTGGAAAGTGGGGGGAAAGATAAAAAGCCAGAACATATAGGGAAATATGGGGTATCCTGTTATTTGTGTGTATTTACTTGTGTGTCCCAGGGCCCCTTCAATATATTGGAGGAGGAGAGGAGGAGGTGACGCATGTGCACGAGGATCATCCGGAGGAGGAGGACGAGCATCGGGAGTGGGGACGACGTGGAGGAGCAGCAGGAGCATTTGCGCGAGGAGCGTGAGGAGCAGGAGGGGCAGGGCGAGGCGGAGGGGGGGAGAGGAGCGGTGCGACGACCACGAGGGCGGATTCGGACTCGGAGGCGTTGCCCGCGCGGGGGCGAGAGATCACCACTCGAAGTGGCGGGGGCGACGCGCCGGGCGCCGGTCCGACATTGAGGCTGAACACGTTTCGAATCGACTAGACGTAAGAGTGACCTTTCGCCGGAGTGACCTTTGGTGCGGGCACAGATGGGCCCACAGATGGCTGAAAACGAATCAGTAGCAGCTGCTTGCGCGCCCAGGTTTGGTCCCCCCGCGGCCCCCAAAAAGTCGCGCACCAGAGGTCACTCTTACCCAGGGTCACTCTTGCGTGTAGCCGATCGAAGGAGCAAGCACCATCTGACAAGCCAGCTTTTTGAAAATCCTGCGGGTGAAGAGAGCACAATACCCAGGGGGAGTCACGATGCTCTTCACACTTCCTCGGGGGAGGGAGGGGGAGGGGAGATGGAGGAGGGGCAGCACGGAGGAGTATTGGGGAGGGAGAAGGAGGAGGGAGGGAGGGGAAGGATGAGGAGGAGGTAGGGTAAGGACGGGGAGGAGGAGGAGTAGGACCAGTGCACACCCAAGACGCGTTAACGATGATGTAATAAGCCTTCCCAAGCTCCCTCTTCACAGGTCCCTGCAATCGGTGCGTCTTCATTGCGGGAAGTGCCCCATTGAAGCACAGTTTTCTGAGAATCGTCCATCGTGCCAACGCACCACTCCTGGGACTCGAAATGCCGCGAATCAGCATGACTCGTGCGCCCTGACAGCCCTGAAGCGTGCGAGAACACCACTCCCGGGACGTCCGCACCGCGAGCCAGCGTGCTTGTTGCGTCTCGACGGTCCTGAATCGTGCCATGCGAGTCCCTGAAACGGTTTCGGACTTCTGAGACGCGTGTGCGCGGCGGAGAGGCGGGAGCCCCACGTGGAGACGGAGCCACCCTCCATCCTTGAAGCCGCGGCAGAGTTTCATGACGAACGCGCGCGCGGGGCTGAGGCGAGGGCCACTCTTTGAAAACTAGCCGTCCTTCATCCTTGAAGTTGTGGTGAACTTCCGGACGAAGGCGCGCGGCGCTCAGGCGAGAGAAAGACACGAAATTCCGCAGCCCTCCATCTGTGAAGCTTTTGCGAATTTCGAGTTCCAGGATCATAAATGGCGACGAAGACTCAGAGGAAACGCCCGGCCCTCTCTACCGACGCGTCTGGCTCTGCGACAGGGAGGAGTTTTTCATAAGACAGGGACGGAGGGTGGAGGTAGTGGAGGGCGGAGAGGAGGAGCGTGACGTAGGAGGTACGAGGTAGGAGGAAGAGAAGGAGGGATGGGTAGCCAGGAGGAGGAGTAGGCAGTAGAGAAGGCAACAGAGGAGGCAGGAGATGAGGCAGGAGAGGAGGAGGAGGACAGCCATGGACGACAAACTGGCCCTGAGGAACGAGAGGGTCAAGACTCTGGGCCCCACGCATTGGACGACGGATTATGACCCAGACATGCGGCGCTTTTGTCACCGATTTTGGCCTCTGGATGCCGGCTTGGGGCCTCGGGACCGTCAACATCTGTTGGGATGAGAAGCGGACCAGGGGAAGGGGTGGAGAGGTCCAGGAGGGAGTGTGCATCAACAAAGGCATCGACGCGCTGGGTGCTCGGTGCGGATGCCGGAGGCTCGGTCGGTCTTCTCCAGGGAGGGTCATGCCGCGCGCGGTCAAATGCAGAGCTCCTCTGCAGGGATGGCGGGACCGCGTGGTTCCTGGAGTCTGGGCGGATGGCCCGGCACTCAGCGATCTCCCGGCGCTCTGCAGCACCTGTGCGCAGTCCTGGGCTGGTCGCCGTCGCTGCACCGTCTCCTCGAGCGTGGTCGACTCTTCTCCTCTATGGCCTTCTCGGGAGGATTGAGCCATGACATGAGCATGAAAACCTTGAGGTCCGCGCAGTCTTCTCGGATCGGCCCTGGAGCCCTCGGGCGGCGCCGCCCCGAGCCTTGAAAGATCCGCATGGGTCTCCGAGCTGTTCTGTTTTGTGTCGTTGCTCGTTCCCCCAGATTATCATCTCCAAGCTCAGCTCCCGACCGCTGCCTCCTTCGCTCGTCCATGCCCTACTCATTCGAGGCCCCTCGCGCGCCCCGACTCGCTCGGCCCCCCCGCCTCCCCCGGCGGCGCGCGGAGCTGGTTTTTCGGCCCCGCCGCCTGGCACTGCCCCCTCCACGGGACGGGGGGAGAGAAAGTGGCGGAGGGGGAGGAGGGACGGCGAGGGAGTAAGGGCGGAGGAGGAGGAGGAGGAGGAGGAGGAGGAGGAGGAGGAGGAGGAGGAGGAGGAGGAGGAGGAGGGGAGGAGGAGAGAGGGAGGAGGGAGGGAGGGAGGAGGGAGGGAGGGAGGGCGGAGGAGGAGGGAGGGGGGAGGGAGGGAGGAGGGAGGGAGGGAGGGCGGAGGAGGAGGAGGAGACGGAGGAGGAGGAGGAGGAGGAGGAGGAGGAGGGGGGGGGGGGGGAGGGGGAGGAGGAGGAGGAGGAGGAGGACAGGTCGCCGAGCTCTGGGGCGAGGCGGGCAGAGGCCTGCCGGCCCAGGAGGGGGCCGAGAGGACGAGGGAGGGAGGGAGGCGGGAGAGGAGGAGGCTGCGGGCCCGTCCTCTCGTGTTGTGACGCAGCGAGGGTCAGCCTCCCACAGAGAGCTCCCCAGAGGAGGCCTGGGAGGGGGAGGGGGAGGGAGGGAGGCGGGAGAGGAGGAGGCAGCGGACCCGTCCTCTGTTTGTTGTGACGCAGCGAGGGTCAACGTCCCACATAGAGCTCCCCAGAGGAGGCTGGAGAGGGGGAGGGGGAGGGAGGGAGGCGGGAGAGGAGGAGGCTGCGGACCCGTCCTCTGTGTGTTGTGCCGCAGCGAGGGCCAACGTCCCACAGAGCTCCCCAGAGGAGGCTGGGAAGGGGGAGGGGAGGGAAAATAAATTATGGCAGACGAGGGTCAGGAGGAGGCCGGAGGATAGGTGATGAGGAGTTTCGGAGCGAGGGGAGAGGCGGGGGGCGGGAGGAGGAGGATGTATGATGAGAGAGGATTGGGGAGGCGAGGGGATGGCAGAGGAAACGCATCAAGTTGAGGAGAGGGAGGAGGGGGAGCAGGAGGTGGAGGGCGAACGCCGGCCACGCGTGGCTGTCTGGGCTGTTTGTTTCTTCGGCGTCACAGGTGAACGCTGGTTTAGCTGCAGGCGGAGCAGGAAGTTGTGGAAGAAGGGAGGGAGGACGTTTGCCTCGAGATTAGGCGCAGTAGAGAGCAGTGTGGAGGGTCATGGAGGTAATGTGAAAACGATGACTGTCAAGGTGGTGGTGGTGGTGGTGGTGGTGGTGGTGGTGGTGGTGGTGAGGGTGAAGGTCACGACGACAATGACGACGACAGTGATGATGGTGATGCTGAGTGCGGTTGCTATGGTGGTGATGATGCCGAGTATGAGCATACTGGTGATGATGATGCCGATTGCATTGATGGTGGTTATGATGACGTCGCTCGGCTCTGATACTGACGATAATGCTGCAGCTGATGCTGCTAGCAGTGCTGATGCTGACGGCCATGACCATGACAATCATGATGAGTGTAGATGAGGAGATGCGGGAGGAAGAGGAGTAGGACGAGGAGGAGGAGGAGGAGGAGGAGGAGGAGGAGGAGGAGGAGGAGGAGAGAGGACACGAGAGCGGAGGAGGGACGACAAGGACGATTTGCCAGGCCGGAGGGCGCCGCAGCCGCCGAGGTCAAGAAGGAGACGGTTGGCAAGCGATGGAAGTGGCAGGTCCCGAAGCCCGCAGCAGCAGATGGCGATGATCCGGATAGCGCTGTCGCGCCCCGGCCCGAAGGCCCGAAGGTATCGGAGGTTGATCGGATCGGAGGCTTCCAAACGGTGCGGTGACCACACCGTGTGGTGACTCAGTGGAGGTCAGGGTCACCGCAGGACTTTTATGGACTCGGGCCACTCGTTGTCCGAGGGTAACTCAGGCGACTGGGGCCCCCCAGGTCCCACAGCTGTGCGGTGACGGACCGTGCGGTGAGGTCCTTGGGGATCTCGAGGTTACAGCACGGCGCGTCGCCGCAACAGTGCGGGACCCCACGAGGAGCCCGTCGTCTCCAGCCCGTCACCCCCCGTCGTCTCCAGCCCCTCCTCCTCCTCCTCCTCCTCCTCCTCCTCGTCCAGCCCCCCTGCTCAGGCTTCCCAGACGCTGGGGCAGGAGTGGCCGCACACACCGACACTGTACTTCGCTCTGGGTCGGATGGCCCCACAGCCAACTCCGCGCACGCCTGCAGCTGATGGTGATATATGTTCATTGGAACTGTATGGCCGCGGCGGATGAGTTGCGGCTTCACGACATACCGGACGAATTCGCACACATAGGCATTACAGCACTGACTTCTACGGGCGAGCGGGCAGGAGATCAGATGTGTACAGTTCCTCATCTTCGGCACCACATCGCCCTTCGCCACGGCTATATCCCTGGAAGACATGTCAACAGGAGCTGCGGCATCACTCTTCTACTTCGTAAGCGCAAGTTCAGGTTGAAGCATATTGTGGATTCCCCCCCCCGTACCTCGGCAATTGCAAGGCAGAGTCGCGCTCCACCGTGTCAGGGCTGGGCGTATTGATCTGCTGATACCAATTACATACTTTCCTCCCCGACCCTCTCAAAGAAAAGAAGGACGCGAATGTATTGATGATGCTCCCTTTCGCCGTTATCGTGACACGGTGTTATGCATGTGTGCCTGGCTGGAGAAAGCGTTCACGTGGGCTCGGGCCAGATCCTCCGTCTTCTGGGGTTTCGACCTTAACGACTCGCTCGGGGTTCGACGACAGCCTGGCGGTGTGTTTACAGAGATGCAGTCTCGGGCATTTGGCGCCTTCGGACGAGGAGAACAACGACTCGCTGGGGATAGGGTTCCGGAGGTTCTTGAGAGATATGCCCTGAGAGTTGTTTCGATGGACTACCCTGTTGGCGACACGCACTTGGGCCACGTCTGCTCAAGTTCGATCGCCTATGTAGCAGTTTTCAGTTGGCAAGCAGCGGAGGTTCTGCCATGTCGGGGGCTTCGCCGCGCCGATCAACGGCTTAAACTTGTTCGGAAGATCGGCCTCCAGCACCACATCCCGATCTTGCTCAAATCGAAGTGCGACTTCGATATGTCGGGCTCTCGGCCTGAGGGGACGAGATGGGATTTCGACAAGCTTGCCCAGGCCCTCCGAAGAGGCGAGGGCGTCTCGGCTTTCATGCAGGATTTGGTGTCTCGTTTCTCGTCCATGCCCGACTTCATGGAAACTTTAATGAACGCGAGAGCTCCTGACGAGGCTTGGGAGGAATGGATCGCGACGGTGCATGAGGTCGCGTCAAGACACTTCAGCCGACAGTCCAATTATGATCCCCGAGCTCGTCGCTATGCAGAAGAACGATCGGCCCATCTTGCCCAACGTCGACAGCAGAGGGAAGCGGGCGCTGACACGCTGGAAACATCGCTGGCCTTGTCAAGGTGCTGTCGTCGTCTGAGGGCTCTCAGGCGAGCGAGGCAAGCGGCGGTGACGGAGCAGCTGGTGACGGAGATTCAGCAGGCCTGGAAGGCGCAACGGCACGCTGAGGTCTGGCGCCTGGCCCACCTACTGTCTGGCCAGCGTCGCGGGCCCCGCAAGAGACGCTACAACGCATCCGACGAGTTCTTGCCGCGAGCTGACGAGGTCTGCGCCTATGTTGCGTAGGGCGGCCCGCAGGGCGGTCTCAAGGCGTCCCCGATCGATCTGCGCACGTTCTTAGAGGAGAGTATTGTTGACCTACGTCTGCTCCAACGTTCGGCGAGGACAACTTCGCGTCGGTGGAGGCGGGTCGGGGCGATCTTCAGCGGGTCTGTGGCATCTTGGCTCAATCCCCGAGACGGAAGGCTTCACCTCTGCACAGCGCCCCGGCAGAGATACTGCAGATCGTGGTGGACACAGAGCGACGCTTCGATGGATCGTCTCGTCCCCGACGTCGGCGGCAGGATCAGGATTCGGAGGACGAAGATGCAGGCCCTGCTCCTCGCCCCCGTCGCCCTGAGCCCCACGCCCCATCGGCATCGGCTCGCGGGAGATCGACGCGGCATAGGTGCCAGTACTGAGCAGGTCTCCAATGGAGCCCCAGTTCGGGCACTGCAGCAGGTTTTTCATCACATTCGGAGAGTGGGGCGGGCCCCGGTGATCTGGCACCACTCGAGAGCCGCGGGACTCAACAAGATATGGGAAGGAGGGGTTCGGGGCTCGGCGCTATATCCATGGGCACTGCATGATGGGGGCGGCCTGGTACAAGGCCCAACTGGTCAGGGGCGTCTCGGATATCATTCCCGATCGAGAGCACGGGCACCTCCCTGGACGAAATCGCGAGGGCGCCTTGGTGTGCCAAGAAGCTTTACTCCTGGAGGCTTAGGGACCTAGGCATTTCCAGTGTGACCTCGATGGAGGACACGTCGAACGCATTTGGGTGTTCGACGTTCGAGGCCCTGCGCGCAACGGCGATGCAGTCGATAGAGCCTGGGACCCAGAAGATCTTTCATCAGTGTCATGAGCTCAGCAGCTTTACCGTCGCGGCGTCAGATGGGGAACAGACTCTACGGAATGCCTGTGGGGCTTTTATGGGCGATAGCCCAGCCGCGGTTTTTTTCGCACGGACCTTCAGAAGGCCAATCCAGAGGTGGCTTGATAAGTTGAGAGCGCACTCCTTGGGTAACCTCCCTCCTCCGTCTCGGGCTTCGACGTATACTGAATGGGTATCTGCTCCTCTCGCTCCACGGGTCCCTCCTGACAACATGGATGAGTACATTTGGCCTTCTGGAGATATTTGCACGGCCTGGGCGCCGGTGTTGCAGCGCCCTGTGCCTCTGTCGTGCCGCATATATGCTGACGACACCAGTGAGACGCATGTGGTGGGCTCAGCAGTGAATGCACAGTGTACTTTGGATGCTGCTCATCAGAGGTTACGAGAGTGTCTGGCCGAAGGCGGATATGAGCACAACGCTGACAAAAGTAGAGTCTCCCCCGTCTTCGCGGGCAAGGGCTCGCTGGGCTTTCGGGGGCGATCTTCGGAGGCGCCATCCCCGTCCTAGGAAAGGTCCAGTTCGACAGCGTTTCCCTGGGCATCGCCGCGTCCGTCAACGGAGGGGTTCAGGAAGAGCTTCGGCGTCGAGTGCTAGCATGTCGGCGGGGTTGCTACACCATGGGGCGCTTTGGGACTCGGAACCGGGTCTGGCGGTTTACTTGCGCGGTGTTCGGGGCCGTGGTCCAGGGGGCCATCTTCTCGGGACTTACCACTCTGGTCTTGACCCCCACGCAAGAACGGAAACTGGATAAGGTCCTGGCTGGGCTGGGGCGGAAACTCCTGGGCGGCGACGTTTGTCGGAGGACAGAAACGCTCGACGATGGCGGCAACCCTGCTCTCGACGGCGACGGACGGCCTGTTCTGAAGCATCGTGCGCGCACCGGCGAGATTGCGTTGCGAAGGCTCGGGGTCGCGCCTTGTGTCGGGGGAGCGTAAGACCCGGGTTTGCCGGGACTCGGGTTCGCCATCGTTTTTTGACGACCGCGATTCGGATTTTGACGAGGAGGAGTTTCGTGGGATGTCTGCAGCGGGAGGCCTCGTCAAAATGCAGGCTCGGCCTCGTCATTTTTTTGACGACCTCGTCGGGGATTTCCGAGTCCCCCGTGCCCGGGTCTTACGTCTCCCCGATTGTGGCGCGGAGTTGCGAGTCAGGCGTCTACGCTCCTATCATCGGTGGATTCGGCACCCCTGCCGTCATGCACAGGAGCTCGGCGCTGTATTCGGACAGCTCCCAGTTGTGGCCACGCCAACTCTGCTGCCCAGTGGAACACTGTCGCCCGCCGCGAACCCTTATGCCTGGCGTTTCGCTGTGGACTGCATCAGGAGTGAGGAGGAGGACCTTTTGGAGGATTTGCGCGTCTTCGACGCCTCGACTCCCGACCCGCTCAGCACCAACATCTTTGCGCTTTTTGAGGGCCCTGAAGATCGTGACAGGTTTCTCCGCCTGGGTCCTGGATTACTTAGGGCTGCTGCAGAAACGGTGACAATCCCGCCTCCCCCTGGGCTCTATACCTCTGGAGTTGTACCTGTTGGTCCCGAGGTGGCCCCCCCTCCGCCAACTCCGACGACGTGGAAATGCGAGATCACGGACTCGACGGGGCAGGTCGGTGGGCGCGAGTTTCGAACGCGCAGGGCCTTGTTGGCTCACCAGCGCTTCTCGATCCAGGGAGGCCGCTCGATCCGATCGATTGCGCGCACTACCACTCTCACTAACCAGGGCGTGTACTGCCGTCAAACCTTCAGGACCCGTCGCATCGCTCAGGAGCATATTCTGCGTGCTATACTTAATACTCCATCGGAGATGCCCTCGCCAGTCCGTGTTCCATCGTCCTGTCATTGTGCTTGATGCGTTGGAATGTCCCATGCCATGCATCACGATGGCGTCTGTCTTTGGAGGTCATAACACGGCTTACTGTTGCTCAGTGGATCGCATTTTTGCCTCATTGGATCTCTTGTCTGAGCATCTAGCCACACTCGCGACTGCACCACTATTTCGCGATGCGCAAGCTGAAGGCAACGCATATTGAGGAGGCGGGCGCGCGCTCGCACTCGAACGTGCGCGACGGGCGCGGCAGAGGCAACGAGAAGCACCGCACTGGGTCCGCAGTTGTTCCCCACGCTCTTGGGGAGAGAGGTGCAGCTCGAAGGCGCAGTCAGGCCCCGCGGCAGGGCGAAGCAGGCTCAGCTGCAGGCGGCGGCGCAACACCACCAGCAGGCGCCTCCCAGCAGA